ATGAAGACGGCCGAAATGAATGGTGGGACATTGATTTCTGTGTGATCCGCTGTGACGGCAGGAAGCTGATGAGCAGTCAGTCATCGTTTCTCATTAAGATGAGAATATGATAAAATGGAGATCCTGTCGGAAGCTTCTTTACTTTGATGTTAATTATAATTAATTATGTTTGGCTTATTGGCTTATTGCCTTTAATATCCTGGTTATCAGTTACGCAGTCACATGATTAGTTTTATTGAGCCTAATTATGTACTTTCATGGTGCTGGTAATTTTCGAGATTCGTGTCTGATGATCTGAGCAGGGTTTTACCTCCAGACTGTAACATAAAGGTTGAGGCTCCACAAACCCCAGAATAGACGTAAGAAAAATGGCACGTACTTTCACAGCCTCCTAACTTCCACATTTGTTGTTAAAATGTCAGTTCTCAGGAGTGATTGCACAGTGAATGTTAAAGGTGATGGAGATGATAACCCTCACAAAAACTCGATGCAGTGAGGAGGCAACAGTCTTGATTCGCTACAGATGCCCTGCCTGTTACATTACATTACATGTCATTTGTTAGACTCTTTTATCCAAAGCGACTTACATACATTCAGTACTGTGGACAATCCCCACAGGAGCAATTTGGGGTGAGGTGTCTTGCCCAGGGACACAACGACATGCTGACTGCAGTGTTAGTTGCTACCCCCTGATTCGAAGTCCAGCACTCTATCCACTTAGCCACAGCCCCCCCCAGCGTTCGTATGTTGTCTCTAAGTGCAGAATTTATTTTTTGGTTGATGCAATATGTCTTGCTGGCATAATTTGCCAGAGGTTACAGGCGGAAATAATCCAAGTGGCTGAGTTTAATACCAATGGAAATTAAATCAACTGTACAGTTTGTTGTTGTTTTTTTACCGAGTGAAACTTTGTTGCTAAAGAAGTCACTTTTATACTCCTGCAATTTTATTTCTTAGAACAAAACACAATTTATACTTTACATGTTTGTACAATTGTGGTGCCTTCAATATGAAAGCATCATGCATCATGCATCATATCTCTGTGTTTTTGTGATCTGTTTTGCATTTGGTGTAAAATACAACCGAAAGCCAACATGTTGAAAAGCAGTGACATGAGAGATAAAGTCTTATCAGTGCAATCATGAGGCATGCAAAAGAAGCATGCTGTAAAAATATTGCATGGGTTATTCTCGGATATTAAAAAACTGGACATATAACTGGATTGTCTCACTGCAATAACAGCAACAAATATTTAACAGCAGGGCACCATTATCATGTAAACAACAGTTTAGCAAGAAACAGCCTTGACTATTCCCTGTTGATGGATGTCAGCTTTTATTTGCAGATATTTTGGCTACTTACAGAGGGAATAACACTGCTGTAAATAAACATGTTTTGACTCCCTTATTTTGTCCTTATGTGTCCTAGTTATTTATGACAGAGAGCCAGCACACCCAGTAGCAGCACACTGGAACTGGCACATTTAAATGGAAGGTAGCCATCATTATTGTTGTTGATCGCCAAATTTGCAGGTCCATCGTGATTTTCTCGTTATACAGCCGGCCGCACTGCATTAATTAGGCTGATGTCAAGTTAGGTGGGACCAAGCTAAATGCTTTCAGTCAATAATAACAAGCCAGGCGAATAGATTTTTATTCTCACAAAATGATCAACTCAATTATTGTGAATAAATGAAAAAACACTCATATTGACCACAGTTTGTTGTTCTATTACTTTTAAGATCACATGAACCCAAAATCTCTGGCAATTGGGATTAATTATAAAAAGCCATTTAAATGTTAGTTTAGACTTCAAAAATCTTCAATCACATGTTTATTCTATCTGTATCCTTACCAACATGGAACAGCATCTTGAGTTCAAAGAGCAAAAACTCTCTTACCTTGTTAGTATTGCAGAAAAGGTGAAAGAAAGTCACGGAAACAAATTTGCATTACATTTGTCAGTGTTGTACACAGGAAGGCTAAACGTATAACTCCAGATACATCAATTCGACTACACAGTTTGAGCTGGTTCTATCTGGCCATTGATTTAGGGTCCCTAGGGCTGCTGGAATATACATAAGAAGTATTTTATTCCCTTTGCCATACATTAAACACAGAATCGCTGCACTTGTTATTGAATTAGATGTGCACTCTTTAATATTTATATCATTCATTGGCTGCTGCCTGCCCGTTTGCTCAATTATGTATTATGTACTTCGCTTTGTATGTTTTTAATGATGTTTATGTGCAATATATGTACATTTGCTGTACTTGGGGAAATGCGAAAGACACATTTCCACTCGGATGGACAATGAAGTCAATCTGTCTTATCTTGTTCTAGCCGCTGCCATCCTGCCATCTAACTGACAACTAAATCTGCTCCTTTGGCTGGCTGCAATTGTCTATTGTTAATTGTAGCTTCACTAATCTTTTTTGAAACAATAATGACTATTGTTTGTATGCAAATGTTCAGTAATTCCAACCAAACCCAGTGGGAACAATGCTTCATATAGACAGTGCTGACCTATTTGGTTATTTCCTTTGCTTGGACAAAGAGCAGAGCCTCCTCCCAGCACACATTTTGCTCGTTAACGTCGGGATATAATTGACTTGCAGTGGGAACGGCTCATTGCCTACATTGACATTATGCAAACTCCATTAGCTGTGTAATGTTAGTCCCAGCAGTGAGTCTATGATTCTTCAAAGAGAGCATGATGGCTAATTGGACTGCTAGCGGTTAGCAAATCTTCAGCTTCATTTGCACCAATAGGCTCATTACACCAGGAGAACATCAATGACCTCGAGGATACTGACAAACACAATCCCATACACATATTGGGGGTATGTTTCCCCTATTTATAGCCTAATAATCCATCATTTTGCACTCGGTGGGAGAGGGATTTCCCTAAAGTGTCAAACCAGTCAATGGTTTGCTCTCAAACAGATGAAGAAGATGAGATACTTCTAAGGATGGGTACAGATGCTTCAGCCTTTTGGCTTTGATCAATGTACTAATTCAAGGGTCAAAGATTTCCTAAGGATAACTACAAATGCATTTTTCATCATTCTTGCCTCAATTAAATCATAAAGCAGCACGTGCAAATATTTGAATAACATTTGTAATGTTTTATCCTGAAAAATGATACCATCCAAAAATATTACCTATAGGTAGTAGATAATTATGTAAATAATAATGAATAAAGCAAATATAATGGGAGTTTATTGACAAGATTTGAGAGAGCACAAGACTAAATCTGAGCCCTACGTTTCAGACTCAAACCGTTTCTCGTTACAAAAATGGTAGATTTATCTGCATGCTAATATTTGACCAAATGAGAATCTTTTTGGTTTTGATAGGAAATGTAACTTTGTTATTATGTAGTTCTGAAACTTTAGACATAAAAGCAGCGTTTATTAGAGAGTCATTTTCTAAAGAAATCTGACCTGGTGCTTGGCACACTGCGTCGCAACATGAAATAATATGTGCAAAAGCTGTTTTTCTGCCTGAGGTCTGGTTTTATTCATCAAGGTTTTCAGATATCTGCTTGTAAAGCTTCTGCCACAACCCAAATAAAGGGAGATAAATACAAGTTGTAGTGCTCAGGGCATTACAAATAAAGTGACTTTTTAACATTCTCCCAGTAATGCAGGGTTATCCAAGAAGTCGGCTGTAAACAGTTTTTAGTTCTTTGATATAATGAGCAAAATAAAAATGTTATGTTGTGAAACTTGGACATTGTTTATGAATGAATGAAAAGTCAATTTTCGCGATGACACATATTTGTTTTAAGTGTGAGATCGTACCTACGTTTCAGTGGCAGAACATTTCCACAAAAGAAACTGTTATCAAGTAAACTAGAGGTAAAAGTCGATATATTTTACTTTGGCGTGTGAACTAACCGTTTAAGATATGTGTGAATATAGATGGATAGAGTTTAAAATTGAGTGAGAATGACAGTCTGCTCGCTCATCTCTATATTCAGAGCACCTGAGAACTCCACAGAGAAACATGGGGTCCATGCGAAGTGTCACATGCAGCAGATCTATGCCTCTTCAAAAACAAGCGTGTAACACTGTTGTTCACTATTCACTGTTTATCACTGTGCAATAAAGCTGAGAGACAAATGAAGAGTTCCTGCAGAGGAGGGATTTATTCACCTTCTTGAAAAAAGTAGTGACATGTGCTGTTATAAAATGATTTATAGCACAGCTTTTAAACAAAGTAGGTGCCCTCCAAAATGTTCTGTTGTAATTTGACTCTATTGTTTTCATTTTTTTTTCATTTTTTTTTCTTTTTTATCAATCTATTATATATGACAAAGGTTTCTTTAAAAAAAAATCAGCAACCCAAGGTTATTTTGATAAGGAAGGCTTCAGCTGCAGCACCAATGCCAGCAGGTGCTCATGGGACAATGAAAACACAAACTAATGAAAAACAACACTACTGAATGCAAAAAAGGATAAGCAAAGTATTAATAAAACGTTTTTTGGGAAAGTACAATATTGTATTATAATGCTGCATATTATTGTATTGCATCTTAAGGTATCCATGTGAAACATTTCTATATGACTGATATCTGAGTTAAAGACTACAAACATCAAAACAAAATCTGCAGACATAAATGGATGCAATTATTCATGGGTATATGAAATCAGATGTTCATACAGCACATTGCTCGTGCATTAGCATGTGGTTTTATATTTTTTGATAGTGTAGTGGTGGTGACGTTTGTACCATTTGTACATACAATAGTTATAAATGGTTGAACCACTACCTTGCTAACACTATACTAAACTCACAGATGAGTGCTGTAAACAGAAGCAGCTTTAACCAAATAAACCTCCTTCTCTTCTTCTACAGAGTGAGGCCTTCTTTTGAAACCATGGTTCTATCATGACATGGGGACATACCTGGATATATTCTGAAGTGTTCCTAAAATGAATACAACACTTAAGCATGTGTAACTTTTTAATGTTTCTTTGCTGTGTTTTTTAAAGGGAGCAGCCCATCTTCAGCGCCCGAGCTCATGTCTTCCAGATTGACCCGGCCACCAAACGCAACTGGCTGCCGGCCAGCAAACACGCCGTCACCGTGTCCTTCTTCTACGATGCCAGCCGCACCGTCTACCGCATCATCAGCGTGGGCGGGACCAAGGTGGGAGCCTCACAATAACTGCACTGATACACATGAATAAACTCTACTTCCTATGTGCATATCACACATAAGGGTATTTGGTTTTATAATATTCTTCTGCTTGGATTGTTTCAAGAGGAGAAATGTTAAAAACCAATAAATCATTATTTTAAATTGGTTTGTTCAAAAGTCTTTACCAGCATAGATTGTTTCTAAAATGGTCTTTCTAACTAAATTGATTATTGTATTTCTGTCAAATGAAGCCAGCACGAGAGGCAGTGGGACTGCTCTAACAATCAAATCAAGCGTTTATTGAGCCCTTTACTTCTGCAGTAACACACTGAACTCAGCAGTGACTGAACAGTATTTTCTTCATGTTGCATTAATATTACATCATTGTAGGGTTTCTTCTCATTTTATTTTGTCTCCCTCTATCCTGTGTTTGTTTTTTTTTAAATAAAGGGAAAGAAATCTGTTTTCCATTAGGTTGTGGCCGTTATGGGTGGGGATGCATTAGTCATATGTCAGCAGATTATTTATAACACACCCACATTGGTAATACAGCATCAACAAGAACGCTGAAGCCCCTGGGAGTCCCAACAGTGACATCATACCTTGTTAGCACGTAAATGAAAACCCTTTGTAGTTTTCAGCCGGTGTGCCAATTTAATACACTGGGACTTGAAGCTTTTGTAGAGGAGACCAAAGAAATCTACGTTTGGCATCAAAACCATATCATTAGACTGTTAGGATGAGACGATCCCTGAACAGATCATCGCACACCACAACAAGCCTTTTCACTTTGCGCTCTGTCTTTATTTGCACGCACAGCTCTTCCGTAGACGTGCATAATATTGTTTTAATAAGTGATACAACTGCTAAGGCTTCAGAGTTAGACCCTTACCTTCCATAAATATGAACTCAGGAGTTCATTTTGCCATGTTGATTGTTTTTTAAACTTGTTTTTTTCCAAATTGACAGTAATGACAAAGCGGTTGTACAAAAAACAACAACATACAATATCTTGCCCCGTTTATTATTGTAGCTAATGATAAGGAAATCTATAGAAGTCAAAGCGAGCAGCATGTTGATTGTGAATATCTGCTGCACAGTTGGCTTCTTGATAATCAGATGTAAATCAGCACGTTTGCTCCTCAAGTACACGCAAAGAAAAATCAAAACGAGCTGTAATGAATTTGGCATTTATTAATGTTTTTCAAATTGGGTCTGGATAGTGTGCATTTGTTGTCCTTGAAGTAACATTTAAACAGGCATTTTTAAGCACATTGCAGGGATGCAAACTTGTCACCTTTCGGCGAAATTCGCCGTTTTGAATCCAAAATAGGTCGTTTGTGTGATTCATGTAGATCTGCAATAAAAATATTTTTGGGGTATGGGGGGGGTCTGGGACCCGGAGTAATCGGCGGCCGCGAGCTGTTATGTGCCATCATGACACGCATGGTGTATATATATTGTAATGCAGCGCGATCTGTGTGCTCGAGTCTTACTGCCTGTCGGCTCTGCTCATGGATGTATAATAAGGCTCTGCTGCTCCACGATGATGGTCTAGCTTCATTAGCTACATTATCTACGGGTGCGTTCGTTAATATTAACTGTGCGGTCCGGAGTCACTGTGGCACAGACTGGACCGCTGGTGAACAGCTGTTAGAACGGGCCGTTCAGGTGTTCAGAGCAGTGCACCCTGTCGGAGCGGCAGAGCGTGATGTGCACTGAAAAGTTTTTCTGTCGCAATATTATCGTTGTCGAGCTAGCTAACTAGCATACATTGTCACTATCTGCTAACGTTAGCTTTAGCCTTCGTTTTCTAATAGTTTTTTTCATAGGCTATAAACGGAGGTGGTATAAGTATAGATCTTGTACTTGAGTAAAAGTAGAAGTACTCAGATCTTGTACTTGAGTAAAAGTAGAAGAACTCAGATCTTGTACTTGATTAAAAGTAGAAGTACTCAGATATTGTACTTGAGTAGAAGTACTCAGATATTGTACTTGAGTAAAAGTAGAAGTACTCAGGTCTTGTACTTGAGTACAAGTAGAAGTACTCAGATCTTGTACTTGAGTAAAAGTAGAAGTACTCAAATCTTGTACTTGAGTAAAAGTAGAAGTACCAGAGTGTAGGAACAATCCTGCAATCAAAATGTTCCTCAAATAAAAGTACAAAAGTATTATCATCAAAATATAGTTAAAGTAGCGACAGTAAAAGTAGAAGTACTCAGATCTTGTACTTAAGTAAAAGTAGAAGTACTCGGGTCTTGTACTTGAGTAAAAGTAGAAGTACCAGAGTGTAGGAATACTCTGTTACAGTAAAAGTCCTGCATTCAAAATGTTCCTCAAGTAAAAGTAGAAAAGTATTCTCATCAAAATATAGTTAAAGTAGCGACAGTAAAAGTAGTCATTGTGCAGATTGGTCCATTTCAGAATAATATATATGATATGTTTTATAATGATTGATCATTAAAGTGTTCTCAAAGCTAGTTTGAATGACTTTGTATACTGCAGGGTAGCTTGTGAATTTACTCCAGGTGGAACTAAAGTCTGATTTAACACTTGATTATATTTCACATCATTCATCCAAATCTGTAAAGTAACTAAAGGTATTAAATACATGTAGTGGAGTAAAAGTACACCATTTACCTCTGAACTGTAGTGGAGAAGAAGAACAAAGTAGCAAAACATTGAAATACTTAAATAAAGTACAAGTATCTCAAAATTGTACCCAAGTATAGTACTTGAGTTTATGAACTTACTGAAGTTACTTTACACCAGTGGCTATAAAGATAGAAAGACTAAGCCTTGCACAGAGGCATGAAAATACATTTTCAAAATGCTCAACAGTCCTGCCAAAATTATAAACTGACTGCTACACAATTAAAATAAATGCTTTTATATATTTCTATTAGATGTGACTCTTTGGCGTTTCTGTTATTAACTGCTTTAGTTGTTCTGACTGCTAAAATCCTCTGTTATTCCTCATTTTAAAGCCGATATTCCGTGGGGTCAGGGGGCTCGGATCCTTGTCACCTTTTTCATACCTGATGAGTTTGCATCCCTGACATTGGATTGATAAATGCATTCAAGCAAGTGAGTTCCAGAGTAGTTGGGATGAATAAACCTCCATCAAAACTACTGTGGTTTCGGATTCACTCAAACATTATGAAGACATTTGTGTTAAAGTATTCAAGTGAATGTATGAGTTTGAATTTATAGCAAATTCATAAAATATAAATCATAAAAAGAAATGTGAAATATTCCACTCATTTTGACCCATCCCCCCAGTTCATTTTGGCCGAACATCTTCCAGTGTGCACAGTAATACAACATTCTTCTTTTTTTTTCTTTTTTCTTCCTCTGCTTTATATAAATATTGTGTATTTATGTGCAGCATCTTATCATTTATCTACTTTTTTCTCCATTCAATGTACATTTCTTATATTCCCCGTGTTAGGCCATCATCAACAGCACCATCACCCCCAACATGACCTTCACCAAAACGTCCCAGAAGTTCGGGCAGTGGGCGGACAGCCGGGCCAACACGGTCTACGGCCTGGGCTTCTCCACTGAGCAGCAGCTGCAGCAGGTAGACGCCGCTCACACTCCTCAGCAGCATTTTTTATAAAATACTTGAAAGAGTTTTACTTTAATTATATATTAGAGGGGGGACGGTTGCGTTTGGAGATGGAGACTACAGTCATATATTGATCAAGACCACTTTTTCAATGTATATTAACACATATTTTTATTCTGTCAGTGTATAATGCAGCTGGTCTAAACATACACAACATGTCTCCATTATCTTTGTCTCATTATGAGCCACGTTTACATAAACCTCCACTATATCTACTATAATTGAATTTTTCCTCAAGATTTTATTTTTGTGAGAAAACATGACCTTAGGAGATCCTCTTTCTCCCACATTTTGCAAAATATGCTTAAAACGTATTTATTGAAATTTCAGATAAAGAATGTTAAAGGCTCAGAGGTCACCTCCCCTCCACAATAAATGAATCAAATATTTTCATTTGTCTATAATAATGCTGCATGATCCAGAGTGAAAAGTACAACGATGATGAAAAGTTGATTTTGGTATGATGTGTATGGTTTTCAGGATATCTCAGCAAACGGAGAGTAACTTGTGTTCCCTCTCCTGCAGTTTGCAGAGCAGTTTAAGGAGGTGAAGGAGGCGGCACGTCTGGCCAGAGAGAAATCTCAAGAGAGGTTTGAACTGTCCAACCCGGCGCTCAACATTGCAGCTCCAGAGGTACAGCACTACTCTACTCTCTTAAAGGTTTTCTCAGTTTTTGGCTGATTAGAGAATGCCCCAGGTAGAAAAAGGAATCCCAATATAGTCAAAATAACCTGAGCTAGTGATCATAATACATCAGCAAAAACAAGTGAATTACAAGGGAACATCTGCACAGTAATATATATTTCTGCTCTGCTAATTTTATTTAATTTTAGCATAAAATTAATCCCCTTGATTACAGCTTTTTCCATTTGCGGATCTGTAAACTTCAACCACAGATTTCACTGCAAACAGTTTTCAGTGAGAACCTAAAATGAAATGCAAAGGCAACGATAACATTGAAATCTGTCGACAGGGGGTTGTGGATTATCCTGTGTAATCAAGACATTTATTTTTGGAAAGCCGCATTATTGGGTCACACATTATAGCTGAGATATGAAACTAAATCGGCATGGAGGATAGTTTTATTCAAACTCAAATAATTATTGGTGGTAATAAAAGTAAGATTTTCAGTGTCACCATCATATCGAGAAAATCCATACCAAGAAGGGAAAAGCCACTAATAGTAAGGATGATTTTGCTGATCAGACTTAAGAGAAAACCTTTGAAACAAGTGAAAATAGTATACACATGGCCTTTCAGAAGGATGGACAACGGAGTTTAGTGTCTACAACCCGAAGGCCAATACAACTCAGAGGAGCAGTTATACTCCAACAAACTCAATGGCTTTGTTTCTATTTCACACATATACCGAATCACAAGGGATTAAATGTATCGCCATCTGGCCCGGCCATTATTCTCCCATTGGTTAACTCCATTAAAGGATTTCATGCATGACAAATGGAGATGGGAAGCAGAAAGAGACGCTGAAGGTGTTTGGAGGGGCAGTAATGGCGGGGACTGAAAGAAAGAAGAATGAGGGATGAGGGATCAGGAGGATGGGAATGAGGGAAGATGGAGGAAGAGAGTCGAGCTGAATCATCTATAATTGAAAGAAAGCTGGCTTCTGCTGAAAGGACAATGGTCAGCTTTTATCCTGCCAGTGTCGGTGATTTCTGGTGGACTGGATAACTCTGAGATTCAGTTGGAGAAGGGAAAGTTTGCCTGTAGTGGAAACTTTTAATTTCTCTCTCAGAAAACAAGCCACCCTGTGGTGACATTACAAGTACATGACAAGACACACGGTTGTATTTTTATAGTTTTTCTGATACCTATAGCATTAAAATGAACAACTAACAAACACTCTGTTGGGGTGACTGTGATTGAATTGTTCTAACATAGAGGAAAAAGGTCTCATGCTATCTTTGGGAAGCTAGCAACTCCGCTAGTCGTGTTTATTAGTTAGCTGTGCCAAGTGTTAGCATTAAGAGTATTAGTATTAGCATTAAGAGAGTGTTGTTATAGTGACCGTGTAAACCAGTGTTTGTGTGTGTCTGCACTGTGTAAAGTCCAAACAAAAAGCCATTCAGCCTCATGCTGCCGAACACGACCTCAGCTCTGAGACCCTCGGATAAGAGCTGAAGGTTTGTCTTGTTTATTTAGTGAGTGCAGCAAGAAAACATTGTTGGATAGAACAAAACAGAGCAGCAATAGCAAGGATGTCCACAGCACGAGAAGCCACATATTAAACAATATTTCATCAATCTAGCTGCGTTGAATGGTAAAGTGGTATCGCATATTGTTTAATGGAGAGCATTCGACAAGAGTAATGATTTGGGTAGATGGCTCAAAGTTAAGTGAAATACTGATTCTCTACTCTAAATTACATTACATTTTGTAAGTTCTCTTCACTCTTCATTTAATGATCATGTACTTTTCTTAAACACTTGTATATAACCAGGAGTCAACGACCAGCGCTTAGTTGAGATAGTAACAAAAAAAGGTTTGTTGACAGGGAACAGGTTGTACCTGTCCAGGCTGACAGCGAAGGCAAACTCTGCCCGGATCCATCCCATCCACTCCAGTTAGACAATTCCTTCTGGTCGCAGATATGGATATGGCAAATGTAATTGCCGTCAATAACGACAACAAAAAAATAGTAGACATTAAAAAAATATATATAAATTAAAAAGGAAAATGAATATGGTCAAACACGGCTTTCTCCTAAAAACTGTAAACAACGGATTAAAAAGCAATGATCCTGTTCCACACGTGCTGCATGCTGATATTGCAGTTCAATCTAGTTGTACACGTGTGAAATTAATTCCTCTCCTGCATGTCTGGTTTCTCTCTGCTTTGGCAGTGAACTGTCCTGTAGGATGTAGCAGTACACACACACAAAGAAAAACAGATGAATGGTGAATTTGTCGATGGCGGGGAGGAAACTGAAGTACACAGTTATTGCTTGACACACACAGAGGTCAGGGTCAGCACACAAAGGTGTTGAATCATGTTACCACGGTAACCAGAGACCTGTTTTCCTGTTGGGTAACACGCAGAGCCAGGGACACATGGTCAAGCTAAATTGATTATTTACACACACGCACACGCACGCACACACACGGCCTGGATAGAGCTGCGAGGTCAGGCTCGGGGTGTGTCTACTGATTTTCTAGAAGACCCAGCAGCCATTGATTTTGTGTCAGGCAGTAAACACAGAGGGGTTATGTGGTTATTATAACATCTTCTAACTCACAGCTGCATGTTGTAAAACACCTTAGTGCTGACTGTCTCCCTTTGTGATATAAAAAGAATACCCAATCAATGTGGCTATAATGAAAGTTAACGGGTCCATTAAGGCTGATATGGCTTTTTATAAATCTGTGTACAGTTTTAGAGGAATACTTCACCCCAAAAAGTGATCATCTCATTACTTACCCTGTGTTAACTTGAATTCATGTAGAAACTAGTTTATCTTGCCTGCCTTCATTGCAAACAAAGAATACAAATCTAAGAAAGTGTGAAATAAATCTAGTCAATGGGGCCATGTTTAACAACAGCAAAACTATTTCAAAACATCTGCAAGTGCAGTATAATCCAAGCCTTAAGCACTCATCGGTACAATACTGTGTTTTAAATTGTAAGGTTGTTCAGAAAATGCATTTGTGTTTATTTAGTAGTGTCTGAATGAATGAGAAATTGATTATACTGCAAAAGTGTGATTTTAGATGTTTGTTTCATATAGGTTTGCTGTTGTTAAACGTAGCATAGTTATTTTAATTTATTCTCGTTCACCGCGGAGGCATGTGAGAAAAAAATAGGTAATTTTTTTTATTAAGTATTCCTCTTAAGCTTTTCTACAAACACAAGAACAAAAACAGTATAGAATACTCACTTGTACATATTAGTGTTTTATATATAAGTAAAATAACTGGTTTGCTTGAGTTTAATGTTAGTAAAGTGAATGTAAAGATACTGGAAGCAAATGAGACACATGCAAACGTTATGTCACAACAAATGTTGGAGGGAGGCTGCAGCATTTTGGTCTTCTTCTGTATCAGTAGATTTTACATCACATTCAGCAGGTCAGTAGCAGTGCTGGTCAGTATCCGTCTACAGCAGAGCGTCAGAGCCTCTGAGCAGCCTCCAGCTCCACAGAGCACACATTCTGCCTCTGAAATGGGACGGCAGCAGGGAATCTGCATGAAGTAAAGCTCAGGCTTTCAGGTTTATTTGCAGAGCTCTGAGATAAGATGGAGGGGGATATGATGAAGTTCAGTGGGATAAAAATGAAGAATAATAAACAGAGCAAGATGGAGAGCATTATGGAACTGACTGAAGTGGAAAAACACAAAACATTTTTAAACTATGCATTAATAATCGTGGAATATATATTTATATTTGTTTTATTTAAGGTTTACGGTGTTGCCCTTGCCATGTGTATGTTGTGTATAAAATAGCCTCTATAAGGTTTTGCAATAGTAAAGAGCATAAATAATCATAATATGCAAAATGGCTTCATTGAAATCATTAAATATTTCTAGAGGACACCGAGCTGTTTCCCCCGTTTCCAGTCTTTATGCTAAGCTAAGCTAACTACACTGGCTGAAGCTTCATATTTAAAGTGCAGACATAAAAGAGGCAGCAATGCCAAATTAGCAAGCAAATAGGCATATTTCTCAAAATGTCAAACTATTTCCCCTATACAAAGTACTGTGATTGAGACTGCCTAAAATAAATGGTGCGCAAGTGTGGAGAAAAGTCAGAACTGATTGCTTTAAAGGTCCCCTATTATACTGTTTTTCATCAATAATTTATAGGTCTCAGATATATACAAAACATGTCTCTGAAGTGTTCGACTCGAAATACCAAACAGATCATGCATCCCATAATCCCCTCTGTTTCAGCCCTGTTTCAAAAGTGCTGATTCTCTGTCTGTTACTTTAGATGAAAATATCTCTGAGAGATATTTGGTTAAAAAGAACACAATGGTGCTCTAGGAGGAGATTCAGGTGAAAAGGTGGGCGGGGGTTACCTTGGTTGGTTATTGGCTAATGGTTACACAAGCCAAAAAAATCGTTATGACATCATAAAGTGGCCGAAATCTGATCAGCTCATTTTCAGACAGGTTTTTATATAAATGGATCAGGACAAAAAGTGAGCGAATATTTTTTTCTTAAACTTTCAGAATCTCTTTACACAGAGGGGACACATGCTGATGTACAAAATACATGAAAAAGTGGATTTTGCATAATAGGTGACCTTTAAGTAATGGATAATAGGTTGAAATGTCAAGCCTCTGCTAGTGGCAGAAGTAAGAATGCAAACTTGTTCTTTTTTACTGAATAAAGGGAGAAAGCCAACATGTAAAACCCCAGAAACATTATGTCTTCTATGAGTTGAGAAGCATTTAGTTGACATTTAGAAAATTACCTGTGATATTTATGAGCTCATATTGCAAGGTTGCGATGTTTGTCAGTCAAAGCAAAGGTTGAGAGCAAAGGGAGCCACACAATGAAGGTAAATGAATGTCAAAAATAGTGTAGAAGAAATGTCATCTCTGCACATAAATCATGTAAACAGTGAAACCCAGCAGATGTCTCTTTCCTCTGACAGGTAACAGCTGTCATTAGTTTGCTCATGTTGATTGGAGCTTTTTCCTTCTGCCATCTCCTCTCATACATGGTATCCATGCAGACGCAGAGAAACAAACAGAAATACCAGCCATTAATATTTTAAACCACAGACTTGGCATTAAAACCAGCTAAAAAAAGTATGCATGAGTGTGTGCGTTGTTTAGTCAGGAGGACAGGTGCTTCAAGGGAAGCCTAAGCATGTACCTCTGATTCGTGGACCCATGAATAAATAAATCGGGTGTGTGGTCTCAGTGAAACACAGGGTGTAGAAACAGGAGCTTTATAAAGCCAGCGGAGCAAATGGACTGATGCATAGATAAATAAGTAAACAGTGTAGATGTACTTAAGACGAACAGTGGCACAGAAACGTCATGATGCATTCCCTCAGGAAGTGTGTTTTAATATTTGAAGTATTTGGGATTTCCATTGATTACAAAGGAAGCATGTTCTGAGGAAACCCGTAAAAGGTTTTAAGTGGCTACTTTAGGTTTGTTAAAATAAAACACACACATACATATTTATTTAGGAGAATAGGATAATCAAAGTTGAACCAATTTTATGTTGGTTATTGTAAAACATTCATTCAATCTGTCTCTTTGGGTGTTGCTACGTGCTCACGGCTCACTTCTCAGCGGTCACACAGCCCTCACACTAATGTGGGTGGGAATGTGACCGCTTCCTCTTTTCATACAGTTTCTCTTTGTTCAGGCTTCAGTTACCACCGCACCTCCTGCTGATGACCCTCTTTCCCTTTTGTTCTCTCCAAAATAATCAGAAACATAAAATACATTAATACCTGTGCAACAATGAAAAACAGTGGACTGTAAGCTGGACTGAGCATAGAAAGAAACACTGTATTGTCAAACAATGGCATGATTTTAAGTATGTACTTATATTCTATTTTTCTCCTCATCTGCCCCTTCCCTCTCCTTTCCCTGCTGCACCACGGGACACCTTCATCTCACAGCTTTCCCAGGTGAGTAAAAACATCCATCCCACCATCTAAAAGCTATGCTAAGAAAACCGTTTTCTATTTTTTGAAGGGAATGTGGTGTTCGTAGTCATGCATCTCAGTGTAACACGGACTATCATGCTCAATAATTCATCTGGAGTCTGATCAAAGTTGACTTCAGAGAAAATGTAGCTTTAAAACACAGATGGCATTTGCTACAAAAGAGTAAAAGCTTTGTTAAGAAATAACGGCACAAAATGTAATTTCAGTCACAGATGTACAGAATATGGCAACATGCAGCTTAATTAATTGTAATTGTCCTCACAAAAAATGTAGAAGATCCTCCTTGCTTCACACTTCATTGATAATGTTAAATATCCCCCGAGAACAGACAACACAGAATTGTCCTTTTCAAAATGGAAAAGTCCTTTGAACTCAGCCTAATTAGTTGCCGGTCGTGGGTATGTGCTTGAGAGTTTCTGCCTTGTTTCCACTCAGCCTGTTAGTGAACAACATACGGAAAAACTGCTGTAAATGTGTAATCCCATTTATGACTTAAACATGATCCATGGCATGAATTATTCAGAGATACGCTCAGCCGATCCGTTGGCTTTGGGGCCGGACTGGAGTTGTCTTAGCTTTGATTTTTCTCGTTCTCGGGTTCCTTCCCCTGGACACAGTGCTCATCCACATGAGCCGTGTTTTATTTCCATATTCTTCCATGAAGTCGGACAGAGAGCCGCTCAGCTATAGATGATGAACCAGCATCCTCAGGGAATAACGATCCGGCTCGCTCAAATTAATAATACACGCTTTTTTCTAGAATAAGTGCAGGGTTGTTATGCTTCAGTGAGGCACTTGGTCGTTGTCAAGTTCAGGTTTAGGTTAGCAAAATGAAAGGAGATGGGAGGGGGGTTAAGAACTGTGCCCAGGCTAATTCATCTGCACACTTTAAGAAAAGGAGACTCTCTCAGTCTGCTCTTTCAGTCTTTTAGCCTACAGCCTCAAACTGAGGAAAACGGATCACTAAACTGTGTGAAAGGAAGCTTGAACCCATTTCTGGGCAGCAGGGAGGGAAAATATCAAAGCAGATTGGTTACACGTGACTGCGCCAGGCTGGAGTCGAGCCATCTGCATGCTGTCATGTCAGATTCAAAGTCTCTTTCTGTCAGAGGAAGATACATGGCTCTTGTGTACTTTATTTCACCTGTATTTTATATTTTAGGCTACTCCTAATGATGTAAGAAAAAGACAGCTGACTTTTATTTTAGAGATTTTATTCAAAATGTTAGTCAATTGATTAAAAATGTGCTCACAAGAGAACTCAACAGTCATAATAAATACATTAAAACTACAGGATCTAGATGCTGACTAATTGTGATAACTTGAGATAAAAAATGGCATGAATTATTTGTTTAATCAATCTTGTATTGGGGAAATATTATCTTTATCTGTTACAATACCACTACAATATACAACATACAACAGGATGAGGCTGGAAAACAAGTTCTTAAGTCTTTAAATGGCTCAAATCGAACATCTACAGTTGTACTTTTCTTGAGTAGGATCCAATAGTTTTGAATGCAAGCTGAAGTACAGCTACTGAATTTACTTTATGTGAGATCGTTTGGAGATTATCTTTAAAGATTATCTTTATTATCATACCTATTAATAAACAATTAAATCAGGTGCCAAAATAAATATTAAATTCCACTAGTATTTCAGTACTGAGTAGACCCTGCCCTGCTAGTGAACTTATTCCCAGATGTGTGCAGTGTATATAATATCTCAACAGACATACACATAATAGCAGGATAACCAGCAGGTGCATACCTCTTTACACACAAACACCAGATGAACTCCTGGAAGAGGGAAATGTACTTCAGTCACTTCCTGTTGAATCAGATCTGAGGCAGTATGCACCGAGGGCAGCTGGGCTCCACACATGGCTGCTCGCTCTGCACGGAGCCCGTCTACAGTATCCCAGATGGGACACATGAAGCGCTGACAGGCTGAGCTCTGTCCTGTCCCGCTGCTGTGTCATGTCCATTTTGTTATGAGGAGGGCTCTGAATATGGAGACACTAATTGGCCTGTTGCCAGCCTCCTTTCTAAACCCAGCCAAAATCTAATTAAATGTGCTTAATCATGTGTCAGCTATGTAACATCCACAAACACTAACCTATGTCTATGAGTAAATTGCCATATTGGAACATGTAATGTCCTCAAGAAAACCCACTACTATGTACCCTGTTATGGTCTCTTGCTCTTGCTCATGTCCTGTATGTGCTGTCCTCCTTGTTGCTCCAGGAGCTGTCGGAGGAGCGCCACTCCCCGCCGCTGCTCACCGTCAATGGGCCGGGTGAGGAAAAGCTGTTTCGCAGCAAGAGTGCTGAAGTCGAGCTGACGGTGGAGAAGGAGAAAGTCAAAAAAATGTTGTCTGAAGGGTAAGGACACATTTGTTTTCATCAGCAGGAAGTATATCATGCTATTGTGTTCATCGCGCCTAGGGTCTGGAGAGAAAGCTTAAAAGCCTAAAATGTTTCCAGCACAACTCATTAAGAAGCACTTCAGTTAATAGTTAGTAGTCGAAAAATATTCCAAGTTAAAATCTTTAATCCAAAATGTGACTTGAGTAAAAGCACAAAAGTAATGTCAACAAAATGCATTTAAACAATTAAAACCAAAAGCACCTTTTTTATACAGAATTGCTCTTTTTATAGTGTTATGTTATTTTAGAATATTACATCATTTTTTTTTTATCACTCACCTCATACCTTTATTGTTGTAGTTCATCAATGTGGAGCCAATCTTGAATACTTCCTCCTGGGTAGATTAGTAGTTGTTTTGCACCATATAATATAAGCACATCGTGTATTTTTTAAGAAATAATTATATACTACCTATAAATGTGGTTGAGTGAAAGGGTTCATTTCCATTTGAAATTCTCAAAGGAAATGCACACGTTTTATATTACTTAGTGCCCTGATACCAGCTGTATGTGTGGATGGTTGTGTGCAAAATGTTATGTTCAGTGAGATGTGCTAGATTCAGGAGACGGAGGAACATTTACTTCACATTGAATGTTGTTTTTACACCTCACTGCTGTTTTGCATAATGTATTTTATTAAACTGCCTGGTACAAAAAACACATTAATTTTTTCTGATAACTGTAATGCTATAATAAATATTTCACGGGTACTTTTATCAGACAGCAAACCTAACTTATATTTTATTTAGAACATTTATTTGACAACATGGTGCAATGTGAAGAGATACAGGAACAAATTATTCCTGCATTGAAAATGTACGCTGAGAGAACACAATGTTTATGAAAGAACATTTATTTTGCAGCAGCAGCAGCAGCATAGAAATAATATCAACACTCCATTACAATAACACACAAGACACAGAGACATAAAGTACATATTAAAATAAGGCAGTAAGAGCTGCAGATGTGAGTGTGTGGGAGTACTGGAATGGAGATGTTATTTGTTAGAGTTGAGAAAGTTTACTACAAAGGTTGTAATCTCATCTCCAACCCCCAGCTTGGCTACATGAGCAGAGGAAGATGTCCCTGAGCATTTTGTTGAGCTCTATACTATACAGCGTATTAAGTGTTACTCAAACTGTGGAAAGCCTTTCCTCACAAATGACGAGCGATTAAACTGCAGAGCTGCCCAAAGATTTCCCACCATGAGGTTCAGTTTGTCTCATAGACGTTTCTAGCAAAAGGATTAATAACAACGAATGAAATAATATTAATGATTATTCAAGAATAATAATTATTATTCTTTCTGGCTCATAGCCAAACTTCTCATCAACATCCACTGAAAGCTGTTCACAGCCTTTTGAATTATCTTTCCATCAAACAAAGCAGAAAAAATACTCATTGGCACGGGGAACAGGTTTTGTAGAGACAGCAGTTGGGATTTATTCTACAAACAACACGTCCATCCTGTTATCCGTCCAGAGAGCCGAGCTGGTACCCACACTGTCTTTCTTAACTGACAGGGAAGCATCACATCCACATTAACTACCTCATGGTTACCCTTTCACTCAGAGAGTACATGTAAATTACAAGGGCCTGTTATTGGTATTTTGGTGATGCAACTAAATAATGATCAACTGAATCTGCAGCTTGGCTTTTTTTCTTTTTGGTTGACTCTTGAGCTCTGTCATCAGCGTAGTTTTTCGGCTACAGCTGTAAGCTCTAAAGCCCACTGTATTATTAATCCATTAGTTTCCATAAATACAACTCCAAATGAATGCTAATGTTGATCCATAACTGTGGATGTGCTAACAGCTTTAACATATCAACTTGAATTTGTTTTAATGTTGTCAACCTTGTTTTTGCTGCCCCCATGTGGCCAGAAAAAGTATCCTATTGCATTTAAAAACACATACTGCAGAAATTAAGGATTGTAATCCCACAAATAAGGAAGAACTCAGGAAAGGAAAATTAAAAGCTCCACCTTTTACACACATGAAAAATACTTGTCAAGTAATATGGGGAAGGAAAAATGCCAACAATGTCGAAACCTTTGAGGCAAGATACACTGCTCGACTGTTTTGCAGTGTCTACCTACTTGTAAAAATACATTGTGGGAGCTAGTTCAACCAATCGACTGTGGCTTGGACAGAGTATGGATAAATGGAGAATATGTAGAGCTTTGGTTTTCAGGACAGGTACCACTGATCCAGGGCATTGGAGTCAGACTCATACTGCAGACTAAATGTAAAATTAAAACTGTAAAATAATGTAAAAATGGTTCTTCAGAATTGAATAAGTGCACCTCTGAGAGTAAATAACTCACCCGTGTAAGATTTGTTCTCTTTCTCCTTCTTAGTTTTTCTAACAAAGCACCACAGACAGCAGACTGCTGTGTAAGGAAAGGTCTTGCGTGTGTGCGTGTCTCTTGTTTAGAATACACAGAAGAGCCAACTATAAGAAACCAGTCTTTTAGTCATGGCCTTAGGTTTGACTTAGTGTGTGTGTGTGTAACCAGACATACCGGTGATGAATTTAGCAGCTCATAATTATCGTCGTCATCCTGGTTCTCATTATTGATCACTCAACATACCATTAGAGACCAGGAATCAGAAAACACTCATGCCCGTCTGCTTTCAACCTATCATCCCAACGGTTTTATTTCCTGATTGTCTAAAGCCTACGCAGGCTTTTTCTCCTGTTGCTATGGTGAGCAGTTTTATGGTTGCCAAGCAAAGCTGTTAGTTAGGTTGTCATGGCAAAGAGTTTCCTCAACTCTGTCTTACTGTGTGAAAGCTCTCTGGTTTTTATTAAATATCACGACTGACACTGACCTTTTAAAAAAAAATTATGTTTATTAATAAAATGTGGCTTGTAAATAAATTCACATGAATCACAGTTAAAAAGAAAAAACATAATAATAATAATAATCATAAGTACATGGTTTTATTTTGATCTATTAAGATGCAAAGTATCAAAGCCATACTTTATTTTAAGTGTGTGGAATTCAGTCCTTTAGCACAGCAGACCTGATCCATATCTCCCACACATGGCAGGATAATGCTTCACCTGTGTTGCTTTATTTCCCTGCCACCCTGTGGTCTCTGTAATTATCTGCTATTAATGAATCATACTGTTCTGTTTCTTTGCAAGTTATGAGCATAACTTTAAAAATCAAATGAATGACAAAGTATATACAACAGAAAGATGGAATGTAGAAATTCAAAAGGTTAATAAAACAAATGTTTGGGTCATTTGTATTTCAGTGGATAAACATAGTTCGGTCTTTGAATTGAATGAAAGACATTTCAAAACCTGGCCTTCTGGCTCCTAAAAAATACTAACAAATATCTCTCAAATGTCTCCAAACAGCTTGTGCAACATGATATAAATGTCTGTTGTTATCTGCTGCATTTTCAATCTCTAGCAATGCCTTCTCCGACTGTAACTCAACAATATTTTGTATCTATGTGAAATGTGAAAGCTGTCATAAATTGGGATTCCTGCTTTAAGTTAAGTCTCTGTTCTTTCTGTGTCTTCCTCTCAGGTCAATGTGTGAGATAAACCTGGAGGCTGAGCTCTTCACGCTGCAGGACAGTAACGCTAAGCTGGTGGCGGCTCTGCAGGAGGCCAGCAGCAGCGTGGAGCAGTGGAAGCAGCAGCTGGATGAATACCAGGAGGAGACCGACCGCCTCAGAGACCAGGTGACGCAGAGCGGGCCAATGATACAATACCCCTGCAGCTCAAAACTACGAAGTGCAATTCACAATGTCTGCTAAAAGCTGAGACTGTTGAGGTGCTGATGATTCAATGTAGTGTTCATTTCTGAGGCCGTAGTTAATGTGTTATCAAGCAAATGTTGTATTTTACACAATTTTGAGTTTATTCTTGCCCTATGACATTATTTTAAATATGTTTGAAACTGACTATACAAGCAATTCAGGATACAATAAGCCATCCTAACAATAATATACAACAAACGTTCCCATTAGTTGTATTATTCCAACACTTCAAAGTGTATCAAGAAGGAACGCTATGTTTCAACTATTTATCATCTGTTGAACTAATGTTTGGGTTAATTTAACGGGTGATAGTAGTGTGAAGCATTAGTGTTGTTACTATGGTTATGCCTTACTTTAAATACAAGTTTCCCACATATTTTTACAATCACAATTGAGGGTCTTAAAGGCTGTGCTTTTTTCTCATGTAATAATAATAATAATAATAATAATAAATGATATTTATATAGCGCCTTTCAAGGGACCCAAGGTCGCTGTACATGGTGGACAAACAAAAACAAACAGACAATCAAAGGGCTTTCTGCCCAAAGGGCAAATGTACTTTCTGTTGTCTTGGTGTAGTAGGAGGTCAAACAGTAATCGCTCAGAAATACGGATCAAAAGTTGCATAAAACAGGTTTGATCAGCGTCACAAACCCTGCATAGACTTCCTGTTTCGATTTAGTGTGCTCAGTTTCATATTTTTACATCAGTGCTGCATTAAGTAATTCCCTGCTTCCTGTCAATAGTTTCGGACCCAAAAGAGGAAATATGACGTCTAAAAAAAAAACAGGTCACTATAAAAATAAATTTGATTCAGGGACCAGGGTATCTGCATATGCTGAGGAGCAGTTTTTTGGGGGGGTAGTTTGGATACTGTCAATCTGAAAAGACAAATCTGGGAAACAAAATACGTATTTAGAGTTATCATTAGCCAAATTAAATAAAACTAATAATTTTTTATGAAGTATAATCAGGTTATATATTCATATGCTTATATTCTGAAATTACAAATGAGGTGAGAAGACAAAACTGACTCTTTGTTTAGCAATGTTTATGGTCTATAAAACTATTTTTCTTACTTCCCTCACTATGTGATCACTCGGATAGCAACTGGAAATTATTCAGACTTTTTATAAGAGCAATCATTTATAACTATCACATTAAAATCCCCACACAGACTTAGTCTCTTCCAAACTGCAGATGCATTTTTCATCCAGCCCTTCCTTGGGATATTTCTGTTGACAGGCTCCCTGGATAATGGCAGACATGTCATCTTTCATTTACAGAGAGGAAATGATGCCCTTGGTCAAGCTTAACAAGGCTTCCTCAATGCGACAGAATTAAGTGCTGCTGCAACCGGCCTGCAATGGAACCATAACCACCAGTGACAGAAAACTGGCCCTTTTTTATTTTTAGCCCACACTGTGGTTTCATATCTGCGAGTCCAGGTGAAGGTTACCCCCCCAAAACACAAACACACAGTTACACACACACTGCAGCAAAGTCAACCAGGTGGCTGGAAGTAGAGCAGGCCGCCAGGGATTGGCAATTGGGTTTGAGAGGGGGGGGCAGGGTTTATTTTTTTATTTTTTGGGGGGACAGGACGCCCTATAGGCCCTACTGCCCATCCTCCCCTCTTTCTGCTCCAGTTAACGAAAGAAGATAAATCATCATAACTGCAGAGGGAGAGAGGCTGGATTGTTCTACCTCGTCACGCTCGGCTTCAGCCATGTTTGTGTTGGTCGGCCTTGTTTGTGTTGATCCACAGCAGAACGTTTATTCTCTGTGTTGACTTTGACCCATGCTCAGTACTAATGAGAATTAGCAACATATGGAGTGCAGTACTTGGGTATATAATGACTATTAAACTATTGCACGTTTAGAGAATCAGGAATTGAATAAGATGGCAAGGCAAAGGGAGAGGGGGCGGGAGAGAGAGACACATAGAGAGAGAGGACACAGAGAGAGAGAGACAAGAGAGAGACACACAGAGAGAGAGGACACAGAGAGAGAGAGATGAGGAGAGAGAGAGAAGAAGAGGAAGAAGAGATCAGAGAGAAGATAGAGAGAAGAGTAGAGAGAGATAGAGAGAGATAGAGAGGAGAAGAGAGATTATATATAGATATAATATTTAGATATATATAGGAGGAGAGGAGAGGGAAAAACAAAGGATATTGTATAGAGAGAGAGAGATAAGAGAGAGTAGAGATATATGATAGTAGATAGAGAGATATATATAGAGAGATATATATATATAAGATAGTATATATATTATAGAGATATTATAGATATATGAGATATATATTTAAATACAATATCATTTGTTTTTCAATCTCCTATCAAATCAACAGCAAAGGTTTCTATATATATATATATATATATATAGTATATAGATATATAGATACTATATAATATATATATATATAGATATATATATATACACATATATATATACATATATATATATATATATATATATATATATATATATATATACACATATATATATATATATACACATATAAATACAATATCATTTGTTTTTCAATCTCCTATCAAATCAACAGCAAAAGGTTTCTAGATAATAATTTAGATACAAAATTGGAGATGTTGCATGTTTTTCTCCATGTGTATCTGTATGGAGGTCAGACACGGAGCGGGTGCCTCTGGGGACAGCAGCTGTCACACAGAGTGGATATGAAGGTGTTGAATCCTCTGGGATCATGTGGACCCACAATGTGGCGTAGCGTGAATTTTATGAAAAGGGACTTTGAAACTACATAGTAGATGCTAAAGGGAGGAAATGAAAGTGTTCACATGGGAGCGGGAATCCCTCTGCCCCCTTCACACCACACATTTACATTTCAGAGATGAAGAAATGACAAGCATTGTGATGATAACTGCATCGTCAAAATAACCTAAAGACTGAGGCTCAACTGTTAATTAATTAAATAAATTATTTTCTTACAACAAACTATTATTATTATCAATATTGATTATTTAAATCCTTAGACTTCTTACAGTTTATTTTAGAGATTCAAGATGATTGTAGTAATTTTCCAGTAACAAAAAGTAACAAAAGCTTCACCTGTCAGATGTCATTGTGAAAAAAGGCACATTTTTGATCAATGTAATCCAATTAATACTCACTTTCATGTAACATGTTATCTGCATGGGAGATATTCCTCAACTCATTTGACCTAACTTGTTTCAATGCTTAAAGGTGGGGTAGGTAAGTTTGAGAAACCGGCTCGAGATACACTTATTGTTATATTCCATGGAATGCTCTTAACATCCCAATAGCAATGAATATCTAAGTGCTTTGACAAAAAATTCATCTGTGGAAGCCGTAATACTGTAAAAAGCACGACCAACTGGATGGCCTACCTGCTTGTCAGCCTTCCATCTGTGCACAAACTTATCTCGTGCCCTCATTGGTCATGTGCGCGTTCGTGTGTGTTGGAGGAGGGGCTCTGTAAGGAAGTGGCAGATTTTTTCCGGCTGTGTATTTTCTAAGTCTAGCGCACTCGAGCTGGTTTCTCCAAAATTACCTACCGCACCTTTAAACACGAAACGTACATTTTTTAAGGCAAATAAAAACATTCAGATACTCAAACTGTGCAGAGTTCAGAAGGGCTAATGTCAGATTGAGAATACAAACAACATAATGTTATCTGAGCCTTATCAGTGTGAAGTAATCTGTTTAAAGCTTGTTATGCACAAAGCCTCTTGTTTCCAACTTTGTTAACACTAGGGACACAATTATATTGTTGTTTTAATCTGATTACTCCTAGAGCATGCAGAAATGAAAGTCAAAACCTTAAATCACACCCTGTTCAAACTTCAAAGGCTGAACAATTTGTTTAGTCAAAATGTCACTCACCATCTTTTTGGGTTTCCATGAATATGTTAAACACAAGGAAGTGGGTCAGATTGGGGAGAACAAATTATGAATTTCTACAAGGTCACATCCAAAAAATAAATCTTCAAGGCAAAGTTTCAGCTCCGTGACCACAGGCAGTTGTGAGTTAATGTTGTTAGTGTGGTGACTGCATGTATCTGTGTGTATGGAGATATTCAAGAGAGATAAGTGAGATAATTAATTGTGTTTATGTAGATGGATGTGTGTAGGCGATGTGACCCTCAGTTGAAGTTCCTCATTTCCATCAGTAATAATTATCACACTGCTTGTATATTTGTATGGACTATATTATTGTACTTGAAAGTCGCTGCCGTCATGTAAAACCCTTTTAAAGCTAATTTTGCTGATTTCCGTAGTGTATGATGGAGGTAAAGGGTCATTTGATTTATATAATTACCCCCCATATTGTGGCATAGCTTTTGAAAATATTGTTTATGTAAAATGTTCAAAGCTTTTCATTGGATCACAGCTAAAATGAAATCCCAGTAAATAATTTTCTCTAGATAAAATAGATTTTTGTTTACCAACCAGATACTTGTTTGTCAGCAAATTACGCAAAATCTGTTTAAAGATTCCCATGAAACTTGGTCTGATCCAACTAAGATAAAAAATGTAAGATTTTTTTTTTTCTGGAGTAGTTTAAAATCAATACAATGTTAAATGACCTCTATGCTTGAGTGTAAGATGGAGAATGGCTTAGCATTGTTACATGTTCAGTTTCTTTAAGTCTAGTCTGCTGCTGATGTTCATCAATAAGGCTCCAAATGAGAGCCATGTTGTTAACAAAGGAGACACATTTTATTACAATTCTATTCATTGTTATGCCTCCACGTGGGCTGCTGCGTCTGCCATGGCACGAGGCATAAGGTTTTTGGTTGGTTAGTCGGTCTATTTGTCCTTTTCATTCTTATAAATGCGATGATTCAGCAATGCCATGAAGAAATGTTCTTAAATGTGGCACAAACAGTCACTTGAAATGAACTGATCAAAATGTTACTCTCAGAGTTATTAAAAATGTCATTACATTTGTACTTACAAAATGTGAAGACAGAGTCCAAACTGAAGTACTTCAGCAGCTCTTGGATGGATTGCATTGACATTTGGTGCAGACATCTCTCGCTCCCAAAGACCACCAACCAAACACCACATGGCTGACATTTAACGCCTTAATAACGATTTGATAGATTGAAGTAAAGCCTCACAGAGCCACTAGCAAGGCGGTTAAATCTTAATCTTATCTTATATAATGTCTAAAATGAAACGCGCTTTATAAGTTTAGTTAAGAAGTATGTATTGATTGTGTGTCTGTCTGTGTTGCAGGTGTCGGAGCTTGAGGGCCAGCTGGGGCATCCTGCTGCCGGTCAGTCTGCGAGAGAGGAGCTGAGTCAGTCCCTGGAGGAGCTGGAGGCCCTGCTGAGCGCCAAAGATCAGGCAAGAACACAAGTTCACTGCACTGCACTCTGTCCAAATCCATCTCCTAACCTCAAAGAAACCTCAGTGTGGAAAGCCAGCCTAGAGAAGCAAATAATATACTGCCAATAATTCACTGGATATGTGTTTGTATTTAGTTTTTGAGAATAGAGCCTCCATATCCATCTGATGAAGGTTTAAAAAACATTTGCTAATTAATAAATATATCAAGAAAAGAGAGTTGGAAAAGTATAAAGTGCCAGTTTAAGTATGTATACTCACTAAATCATCTTAAGACTTCAAATAAGATATTTCCGATTCAATAACCAAAAGATAATTACTGAACAAAATGTTGAGAAGAGAACGCTCTATGGGGATTTTACTTATGCTCTTCTTTTGTAACTTTAAGTGTTTGGCCTAAACTAAGAGAGCTTTGGAAAAATACCAGAGACTTTATTAGCTCTTTCCAAGTTTGCTTTAATATGATTTTTTATGTCCCTTATGTCAATTTTCCATCAAATGCATTCTGGGCACATTTTCTCTGCATAAATAAAACCAAACGATAAAGTCAAATATTCCTTGAAAGCACCTTGCTGCTGTCCTCCAGCCTCATTTACATAACCATGTCTGTCAATCATCTAAACAAGTTTAATTGTGGCTTGATTATTCATGCGTGCTCACGGTGGTATGTTCCCCCAGGGGCTGAGTCCCCCTCCTCCCCAGAAACATCAAGGTGTCCCAAACCTTATCACCAACCTCATAAATGGCCCTTTTTAAACCACATGAAGTCTTTGGGTGCAAAACACAAGATGAATATTCGATGATATTAGCAGCAGGAAGGGTGGAAGGGGAATATGTGGGAAGTGAGGTGGTGTTTGTGACAGTTCAAATCACTGTGCTTTCAGGAAATTCACAGTCTACAGAGCAAGAAAACAGATGTGGGTGAGCTGGAGAAGGAAAAAGAAGAGACCATACAGAGACTTGAGGTGAGATACAAAAAAAGGCTAAGTGTTGTTTTTCTTTTACATACAAAACCGTCATGTTGCATTCGATTTGCTTAATTGCCATTTCTCCCATGTCAGCAGACAGTAAAGAGGCTCCAAAGAGAAATTATTCACTGAAGTGATCCATAGGAACCAACATTCTTCGACACTAATATCTGAGGGTCTTTCAGTAATACGGAAAAATGTGTCTTAGGACATTCTAACTCTTAAAGAAAGTCTACAACAGACTCATAAAATATGAGAAATAGAACTGGTTCATTGTATTTATATTTCTCACCTACATTGTCAAAAGTAGGAAATCCACTTTCATTGACAGGGAGATGAAAGCATTTCATCTTCCGTGTGAACAGAGACATTACTTTCTGATGCTTGCGATTCATTTGCAAAGAGTTCAACACGTCAGTCTTCACAGAATTTCTATTCAAGTCCTTATTCCAGTACAAAACTGTTTTATGATTGTACTACTATATATTCATATCAGAAATGTTCATGGTGTGTTTTATATGTTACTGATGTATCTGGTTCTGTTATCTTCACCATATAAGATTTATTTTAACATGGCTCAGATGGTTTGATATGGGTGTGCATGCTAGACTAGAAGCTTCCTTGTATAGTATATTATTCAACAAACCATTGTAAAGTATGTCATAAAAAATGTGAAGAATGCTAATAGGTCGTTTTCTATTGCTCTAAAAACCAAACAGTGTGGAACATAGTGCTGATACTGTGGCTGAAACAAAGGCAGCACAGTGCAGACCTGCAGCAGAGAATCAGTATAGGAGAACTCGTACTTCAAGGAGAAGTTAATAGTGTCAAGTCTCCATGCTAACGCAGGGGATAATACCTGATGCATATTGCATAGCCCTAATTAGGTTCTCCATCATTTTGAGCAGTGGTGTCAGTTGTGAATTATGTATATTCATATATGACCTTTGCTGTCCTTGGGTTACTTCCATAATCTATTCATTGGTGCATTTGGCATACAGAATAACCTCCTATTACTCAAAATTGCACATTTAAATGTACAATATAAACAGTTTAGAGCAGTTGATATACTATGACATCCTCTGAAACTTTATATCAGTGTGCAGCCACACAAGGAGTGAGAGTTACATGCATTTAAGTAACGCTGGACTATTTTTGAGAAACCAGTGCTTTACTGGTACCTGCTCTGAAGCTGTTCCACGACGGCTGCTGCTGCTAGTTTTTTCTGCTCCAGTTTGAATTGGCAGTTTTAGTCATTGTATGATGTATGATGTATGCATCAGTACTATATAAAATGTTCATGTTCACAGAATACACAAATTACTTCCGATAAAGATTAAAGGGGTGTAGACTTACACTAGGATACATTGTACTCATGCTATACTAAGCTAGCCGATATAAACATGCACAAATATGTATACACCTAATTTGAGTATTGATAATCAGTGTGCCCAAGAGTTCAATAGGGGGAACCACACAGGTAGGAGAAAAGCATTGACCATAGCACATGTCATTTTTAACACTCATCCCACTTTAAACATTTATCAGCATATTGTTAAGGTACAGAGCTGGCAGATATAACAGCAGGAATCAGGGTAGTCCAGGCTTACATTTGTAGACATTATTGACCAGGGTGGTTTACAATACAGCTCTGTAATGTACATTCCAAAAACCAAATTCATTATACATTGTTAAGAGTTTCTGGTTGCAGGTCAAAGAATTCAAAGAAGGAATGCAAATTGAACACCAACCCATGCAGACAATTATATCCATATCTCCATGCAGATGTATACAACTGTACTAACAACAGTTCATGTGTGTACAGGATCTGGAGAGACTCAACAGCGACCTGGAGGATCGGGGTCCAGAGTACTGAGAAGACGCTGGCGTCCAGCCAGGAGGAGCAGAACCAGGCGGAGGTCGAGGTCCAGCGCATCATCGAGGTTCTGGACGTCAAAATCTGCGACCTGAACGACTTGAGACAGAGCCTGGCAAAACTCATCGACAATAGCCACAGCTGCAGTCGGGTTGCATCTCCACAGTCAGCTCTGTTCCAACCATGGCGCTTTGATTTGTGTTTTACTGGTTTATCAGGAGAGCAAACATCAAAGCCTATGGAAGACCTTTACTGGTGTTTACCTCCATGGATCTGTGTTTATAAAGATCAGTGCAGGGAAACAGCAGGTATCAGAATCCTCTTTAAGGTGCTATGTTCGGAATAACAGTATTGTGACATTAATACTGGAGCCTCGGTATGATTATCATAAACAGTTGACAGTGTGGTTCAACTTGCTACTACAGCTTGTTTCTCTATATTCTTGATCCTAGCAGCTGCATGTCATTTAGCCCCTGAAGAGGATAATAGGATTTATACACCAGGTTTTTACACTCTTTTCACTATCTGCCATCAATGAACACTCTGAAAGCTTTCCCTTCAATTATCTCCAGAACAGCAGCACTCTCCTCTGTATGATGCTATAGCAGGTCCAGCGTATTCTGTCAGTATCTGACGGTTTACAATGTGAAATGCTGAGTAGTGGCTCCTGAATGGTCTGAATTGTTTATGGTATGGTACTGATGCCCCAAAGGACTGAGGTAATCATTTATTGATATCAAAACATACTTAAAGCACCTTGAGGAATTAAACCAAAATGAATTCTGTGCTTGCTATTTTGCAAAAGTAGACATTTCTTACCCGTTATTCAGTTTTGATGTGATGTACTGTATCTGTATTTAATACAGAGAGGGTGATCCACTTGGTATGAGTATATTCCTTTACTGAATTAAGTGGCAGAAAAACTAGGAAAGAAAACAAAAAATAAGTTCCTGACAGTGTTTATTAAAAGCCAGCAGTGGTGCCGCTTCCTGCAGGGACAGTAAACCTGCAGTCCCAAAACATCACACATATTAAAACTTGAGATGGTTGAGAAATAAAGGTTTATGTGCAATTACATTTTAATACCTATATGATCATAAATATTTGATCATAATTCTGCACCTCTGGTTTATAGAAACAACAATAAAACTGTCCATAAATGTTTTGTTCCACTTCAGTTTGGCAGAAGTTTTAAACAGCCCCAATCTGAAGTGATCCCTGTGTAGATAAACATTTATAGATATGTATTTTCTCACAAGGTTTTGTAGAACTCAAAAGTCACTGCAAGTAATAGAATGTCTACTTTTTACACAATAACAACTTTGAGTACAGTTCATGTTGAGGACCCTTCATTAAACACTGTGGAGATGTACCCAGGAAGAGTGAGGTCAGGGATAAGCACACATCGAGGCAAACAAACCTGAATAACTCCAGCTCCAGTTGACCATCAGCAGGCTGGACTTGCTTCACACCAGCCAGAACAAAACAAACTCATAGATTCAAAACATTACCCAAATGTGTCCTGCCATTGTACAACTTTTTTTCTCCATGTTTCATAAGGACTGCTCTTTTCTCACCACTAATTCTATTATTCATTGATGGGTTACTCACTGTCAGAATGGGAAATTGGAGATTGCTAGCACCCAATTTTCTGCTAAATTCAAGCTGCTACAGGGCCCTTTTACCGGGTTGATCAGCATTTGAAGGAGAGGTCCAGACATGTGGCTGTGGACAGAGACACTACTTTCCCACCCTGCTGAGTTGAACCTGGGGCTACACTTGATTATGTTTGTGCCAAGTTTGTTTTGTTTACATGTGTCAATGTCCACAATATCATCCGGTTTACTTTATGTACTGTTCTTCTTTGCTCAACACTAACACATACCATAACAGTACAAATAACCTGCAGAGCATAGATCACAAAGAGAGCACTGCATGAGATCTGAAGAAGCCCCGTAGCTGCCGAGGAATCTGAAGCTGCTTGTGTGCACAAAACTTAGCTGGCTTCAACCTGACAGTGCTCGAGATAAAAAGCACAAATGCAGTAGTTTTAGTAAATAGGTACTCAATTCAGTTGTCTGTCAGCTTTGTATGTGAACCTCTGATGCACAGTATCTATCGATAACCCCGATGAGTTATTGAATACATCATGTGACGTAATATAGGTACAAATAATGTGCAGCTCAATATGCAGTAACTGCCACAATCCTAACATGTCAACGTGATGGTAATATAATAAACTACCAGTTAATGCACCAGCCACCCTTTATTACTGTAACCTCCAATTTTTGCTTTTAGGGGTTGTATCATAACTGATGGTTTATTTATAATGACACTGTTTAATATATAGTTTGAGTTAGATTTCCTGTCCTACAAGATTGCACAAAAATATCACATTTACTGTCCTAAAATCAGTACTGGCAGTTAATGTTATTTTATCAATTTGACAAGTTGATAAACCATCTTGGAGTTTCTGACATCAGCTGCTACATGTAAGAATTATTTTAATTAGCAATAATGTTTTTAGCTTAGATGCACTGATAATAGTTTACAGGTATAAGACCTCTGTAAAGCCTTTTTTTCTCCTCAGTTTCAACAACAGAAGTGCTTTTTCACAACGTGATGTATTAATGGCTGTCGCCACAGATTGTGACCAGCCTTATATTAAGCATGGAGAAATTGTAGAGGCCATCGCCTCCTCTGCACGCGTCATCAATGGTTGTCACAACACTTTGCTTCATAAGGGCCTTATTCCAGTGTATCACTAATGCACAATAACACTGTACATACATGATATTACTAGTGTACACAGAAATGGGAGCTCCAGGCTGCGACAGCAATTTCAGTAATATTATATTTCAAAAAAGTTTAAGAAGAAATCTACAGAATATTTGAGACTATTCAGGGATCTGCCTACAGATGTACATATGTTTCAATATGGCTGCCCTGGATTGCATAATGTTAAAACCCCTTATTGAAAGGGGATAATGCATTCTGGGAAATGCAGAAATCTGAACCACAAAGAGGGCAGATGAGGGACATTATAAAAAAAAAGTGTAGAGGTAAACGGAATGTTTTAATATCAGAGGTGGCTTCCTTTTATTACTGTAGACACTGGAAAAAGGCCTTTAAAAAGCAAAAGCTACAGCTTCAAAAGAAAATGCAGTACCAAAGATGCACCTCTGTCATGATAAAGCCACTTAACTGGAAAAAACACAACTTCATCTCAGATGTTTTAAATCGAACTTATAATTGCTGTGTCTACATTTGACATTTCAGTAAGACCCAAATTACCTCACGTTGCTTTAGTAAATTTCGTTGAAGTGTTGGTCAAGAGGAAAAATTGGTCCGTTCAGATCTTTTTATAAGAATAACTAAGCTTGTGGAGAGCATGTGTTTGTATGGTACAATATTTAGAAAATGTGAGATGAGTTCCTTATATTTGTATAGAACTGTTTGACATTAAAACCCAGTCATGCAAAGTCACTGCTGTGGTCTTTGGGAGGGGAGGGCAAGGAAAAAAAAAACGTTTTATAATCCATCACAAAAAGGTCCTTTACTTGCACTGTGAAGTGTTCAAACTAACCTGCATTGTTAGAAATGCATTTGGACACTTACTTTTAGACTGACAGAAACGAGATGCACCATTGTGAGTGCCAGATTGAAACCACTCTTAACCAGCACTGTGCCAGACAATTTTTGGAGTGCACCCATTGTTAGTTTAGACCTGAGCCAGTTCCAAGCAGCAGGGTTACTGAATTACCCAGATAAGAGGGTAAACAGACCTTTGACAAAATGCTGCCAAATCATCCTTAATTTTCCTTTGGAAACATTTGGCAAAAGTAAAAAAAGGTATTGCACCAATTGAATTTGTCTAAGTCAATCTGGTTACTTTTCCCATGCAGTTTATATCACCTTGAACAGCATTATGATCCTGTATTACACGCGTGATTTTTACTAAACCAAAAATATACAATTTCTCCCCACCACATAAAAATACAAATCAGACAAGCAGCACCATTTTCTCACATTTATTTTAACACAAAATGGCATAGAGAGCCGATTTAGTTCAAATGTCTACTTCAGCTTCTTCTTGGGGCGAAGGTTGTTGGTGTGGCCACACTTCTTCTTGCGGCAGTTGACGGCACGGGGTGCAGACGGCATAGCACCTGTAAAACAAGCATTCAGGAGTCAACTATTAGTAAATCTTCTGAACCAACAGTTGATCATACAGTTCTTAAAACCACAATATTTATTTATGCTAGCAACTTTAGGAATATCTTTGCCGCCACATGGAAAAACTGCATCTGGTTTTAAGACCAAGTGTGAAAAAAGTGGCAAAACTGCTGGATTTTCCAATTCAGCAAATATTTACAATTAACCATAACAACTTGCAATCAAATTACTCATCCACCTTTTTAATTTGTGAAGTTCATCACTTAATTAAAACTGAATAAAACTGCACCCAAACCACGCTGCTTTGGGTGCAGTTGAAAGTGTTTTAGTCAAACCCTATTACTTCACAGTAAATAACAGCAGCATTGAACGCTGATTGATTAAAATAAATACTTAGTGATTTTTTTTTAAGAACCTACTTGCGGCAGATCATCTTGTCGCAGTTGTACTTCTGGGCCAGCATCCTGAGAGAAGGCTCGATGATGCCTCCACGCAGACGCAGAACCAGATGCAGAGTGGATTCTGGGGTAGTTCAAACAAATTGATGTCAAGCTCAAGTTGTCACATCCAAAGACAGCACAACAGAAAATCCTCTCCACTTTAGCATTTCACAAACAATCCTTTTGCAGTTTATACTTTTAAAATAATAAAACATGGATTTACACAATGCAGCAGTTACCTTTCTGAATGTTGTAGTCAGAGAGAGTACGTCCATCCTCAAGCTGTTTGCCAGCGAAGATCAGACGCTGCTGATCTGGGGGAATTCCTGAAAACACAATAACACTTAATAACCAATTTATAATTTACCATGATCAACCATTTTATTTTAGTACTGGAGGCAAAGTGCCAAATGGTTTAAAATACTGTTAGCTGTACTAAAATGGTTTACTTTAATGTCTCAACAACACACTTGTTCCTGTATTTAAATTACAATATTGTTCTTTGAACTAAATAATTAACAGTTTGACTAATGGTGCAGGGATTTAATTTGCCATTATACCAAGTCTACTGGCTTGATCCAAAGCAGATTGTAACAGTATACAGAGCATTGATCTTCCACATATAGAAAACAATAAACCGAAAGTTAAGAAACGTCTAAGCCATATTTTGTAAGTGAGTTGATCGCCAACAAGCTGTCAGACCACCCTCAAGTTACGACTCAAATGTGATGCCTCACCTTCCTTGTCCTGGATCTTGCCTTAACATTTTCGATAGTATCGCTGGGCTCAACCTCGAGGGTGATGGTCTTCCCCGTCAACGTCTTCACGAAGATCTGCATGTTTGCAGGCTGAAAGAAAAACTGAAGTTAGCTTACAGTTTAGAGACGCTCACTCAGCTAACCATACAATAACTGAGAGCATCTTTCAAGTTCACGACACAGAGACATACACTTTCGTTAACACCGAAATGGTAAGCGTTCCATCGTTTTACAACCTTAATGAGAAATGTGACAAGTTGTTCGGCTTTTGGTTAGCAGCTATCGATATGTTAGCTAATGTTAGCATCAGAGTGAACTCGGTGCGGGGCCTCGCCACATGCGTACCACAAGCGTGGCGCTCAGTCACTATTTTCTCTATTTTCTGACTTCTAACAGAGGCCGAAATACTTTATAGACATTAACGGTCGATATGGGACAACCCATACTGTTTTAATCGCATTCAACAACTCCACGTTCAATACAATTCGATGAATATGTACTAGACAAAATGTGTACCCACCCGGCCGTTAGCTGAGCCTCAACGAAAAGAGAGCGGAAAAGGCTCAGGCTGCAATACGTCACTTCCTATTTCTGGTTTCCTTGGGAATAAAAGCCTACGAGCGATTCTTTTAAATTAAATTAAGAAAAAATACATTCAGACAGTGGCGGCCGGTCCATAGGGGCGCTAGGGGCGCCGCCCCACCTCTTCCCATATTGAAAAAAAATAATAAATAATAATTAAAATTAAAATTAAAAAAAAAAAATATGTTTAAAAAAATAATAGTTTTTTTTTTATTTTTAATGAACAAGGTAAATCTTATATAATTGGTATCAGTAAAATGTATAATCTACATAAAATCTCGTTTAATAAAATTGGTGTTACGATGTCTAAAGTTACTGATAAGTCACATGTTTCCTGCCTGGCCTTGCCCATGCACCTTCTCTCGTCTGGGCGCTAAAGAGGAGCCTTCAACCAGTGCAGCAGCAGCCACCAGCAGCTGACTGTTGCTATCTGTAACGTGTAAACTATGCCGCGAAAATATAATTTCAGCCAATCAGCGTCGTCAAGATGATGGCACCGGGCGCCAATGTCAGCGCCCAGTGCAGTCTGTGAGTAGTTTGGACATGACTCGTAGCCGGTTGACGCAGTAGTTTGATGAGGATGGCTTCGTGTGCAGTGGAGTCTCCGGACCTCGGTCCCCGGCTAATTCTGTTCAAGAGCTAATCTCCAATCCTTTTCGAAAGGAGAAGTTTGGCAGATAAATTGTTTGCTTAAACCTTGCACCGGACCAACCCGATTTGAATATATCGCAGCAATCTCGTGAAAAAGACAACATTTATACACGAGGCTTCACAAGTAGCTGGTACACAAGAAAGCTTGGCTAGCTGGTGCAACAGGTAAATGCTGTCTTTTGTTTCCCATGCTTGGTATCACTTTATGTAGAAGAGAGGTTTTCCCATGGTTGTTAGAAGTTTATTAATAAGTGGGCATTTATCACAGAAGTGATTGTTCTGTCTCCACGTTGTTGCATTGTCTGTGATGTATTTTCCAACGGTTATAGCTCCTGTTCTGTCCCAGCAACACTACAACGGTTTTAAGCTCCACCACATTTTTGGTTTATCTTCGGTGTCGCTTAAAATCTGCTTCCCATCGGACTAAAACCTCCACGTAATCTGAAGACAGATACTTGAAGTTATTTAAACCTTTTGCAAACTTTATGTTCTTTCTTGCTCTAGCCTTGCCAGTTACATTGTACATAACATATATTATCATTATGCTAAGTGGTTGTTTCTGTTTAGACGATGTAGCTTTTTCATTTCTGAGTTATTGCTATGTAAATAAGCCTGTTTGTAAATAATCCTCAGAGAAACAAAGAAAAAACACAATTTATGAC